TATATATATATATATATGTAGATACGAGTTAAATTCTAATCATCGTGGGGAATTTAATCTCATTCACCCGGAACTATCGGGAACATCAGGGGCTTTTGAATGAAACAAAATTGTGTATTCATATGTTTCCTTTGCAATCAATCAATGTGGTTTCCTTTTTTACAATTCTACTTTTTTTTTGTACAATTCTACCGATTAATTTTTTCGTTTTTTTTTTGTGGATTACATCAAAATGGTTTCTTGAGATATTTGAAATCCATGGAAGAATCAACACAATCATCTTCCATTTTACCCATCGCCGTATTCATCATCTTCAGCAACTCGGTCACTTTCTCCTTCGTCCCTTCTCCGCACCCTACTTGCAACACCACCAACAGCTTCTGAAACGCTCCCAGTCGCACCGCTTCTTCAACCGCAGTCGCTGCGTTCCCCCTTTTGCACAGCTTCCACATCAGTGACACCGAACTCATCGTCGCTAACTCGGAGATCTTCGGCATCTTCTTCACCAACAACGGCATCACCAACGCGTTTTTGCTTACTTCCTCTCCCCCTTCTCGTGTTTCGCAAATCACGTCAAGAACCGCTAAAGCTTTCTCGCAAACGCTCTTTTCCGCATCCACTATCATTTCCACCGCCAGATTCACCAGACCCGTCTCTAGAAACTTGGAGACAATCATGGGTTTGCTCGAGATCATGTGGTAGATAGCTGTCAACGACGATTTCGTCGAGCTAACGGAAACCGCGTCCCGGATCAACTTCACGAACGCTTCCTCCACTCCGTCCACCTCCGATAACACGAACGCGTGCGTTTCGTCAGACGCAAGAAGCTCTTTCAGCAAAAACGCCGCGTTTTGTCGGACGGAGTCGTCCATGCTCCTCAAGAACCCCACCATGCAACGGAACGAGGCCGCAGACGCGATTTTGGTCTGACCCTCTGAACCAACAGGAAGCATCCACGTCAGCACAGACAAAACCTCCTCGAGCAAAAACGCGTTTTCACTCTCCGCAAACGCGTCGAAGCAAACGCAGAGAACAAATCCGACGCCGTTTTCCCTCAAACACTTCTTGTTCCTCTCGCTCTCCTTCCCCAAGTTCTTGATCCTCCCGACAAGATCTCCACACTTCGTGTGGTCCCCACGCCTTGTCGCAGCCCACAGCTTTCCACAGATCTCGGAGACTTCATGGGGTGTCACCGGGACACGTGGCGTCGGGATACGCTCTATACCATTATAAGATCCCATCTCAACGCACCAATCTTGAATCATCTTCCGTATCGCGTGGTTCGGAATCTGATCGAACGTTTCCAAGACCGTGTTCGTGACCGGACACGTCTTCTTGCCGGATTCTATCCATTTCTCGATGCTTTCGCGGTCGTAAGTGATCCCCGAAGCTACGATCACGGGATCTTTCATGAGATCGAACGAGATCGGACACTGAAACTGTGGCGGAATCGTGATCTCAATATCGGAAATGCCCGTCACCGGGATTATCTCCTTCTTGTGCTCTCCTCTTCTCCTTAATCTCAATGGGAACACCATTTTCTTCTTCTATTTTTTAAGATCTGTGAATATGATCGAGAACCAATGAGATTATACGGGAGATTGTTTCAGAGTTGTGTTCGGTTTTGTTTGTTGTGTGTTGAGGTTACGTGAGAGAGATGGGATGTGGTTTATATGCATGTGTAGTGGTCATACGCTTCTCGAACGCGGTTGGTCAAATTTATAATACCAGTAAGGAAATTAGTGGAAAAGGAAAAATAGCGACAAATTAAATAAATTGAATAATATGGGAATGGTTGTCTTTTATTTTTGGCTGTGAAGAATCGGAAAATTTGACCGTTGAAAACTTGAATAATCTGATTTTTTTTTTATGTAAAAAAAATAAAAAGAGGGTTAGAATTCAAACAATGTATTACGTATATATATGGGAGTCCAATGCCATAAAAAATGGAATGAAATGATAGATGGGTGGTGGTCGGTCGTTGACTTGACTGTGTTGGTCAACTGAATAGTCGGTGCATGGACTTATATTTTATACTATATGCGTTATTATCCAGAAGAAATTACGTTACGTGTCTTAATTTTATCTTTGAAAATTCATTATTTTTTTTCCTTTTTACTGTTTTACATGTTGTTCGATGGTTTTGACATTGATTAAGGTCGTAAAAACGAGGAGTGGGAATTAATACGTAATTATTTTATTTTATTATGTTAGTGGAAACTAATATAGAGGGTTTTCTCCAAAATTAATAACATCGCAATAATTTTGAAAACGAGATTAAATTAAAAAATCGAAATGACTTAAGATTGAGTTGCAATTTTATGGACAGCAAAGAGGGTAGGCATATCGTATACCTAACATGACATATCTAATGTTTTGTATTAAGATTTGACGTTGAATCACATATCCCAAAGACTTGGGTTTCTTATATTATATGTATATATATATATATATAATTATATATATAACTGCTGTACCTTCCGAAGAGTATATAAGAAAGAATCAAATCAAATCTAACAACTAATTATATCGTACTTGTTTATCAAAAACAAAAACTAATTATATCGTACTTTAGCTTTAAAAACCATTCAGATATGAAACTAGATAGGAATTTTCTTATATCAAAATAACTTATATTAATTCTGAATTTTAAAATAATCGAAGAAAATACATTTTTTTAAAAAAATAAAAACTAAATTCAAATTAAATCGAAACAAAAAATACAAACTAAAAAAATAAAATAAAAAAAATTCAAAATTTTCAAATCTAATCGGAGGTGTGAAAAGGGATAATAACTCCCCAAAAAGTCTCGAAACTATGGTGAATTATTAGGATTTTGGTTCGGTTATATTCATGTTAGTTTATTTTTATTTTTAAAAAATTATAATCATTCCGTCATTATATTGAATTGGATTCCGTTTACTTTGATATCACGAAGCAATCCCGTCAAATAGACGAGTAAATTTAACTATTTTCAATGTTTTATAAGAATTCCATTAATTGTTAAATGTTCTTAGTATGTGGAAGTTGTGTTCTAATTTAAGTATATACACATTGAAGAATTCTATGAAATATTTGAATCTTATAGGTTCGAATTTAAATTTAAAATTTTGTATTTTCAAACGTTTCGGGATAATTCGGAATTCTTTCTCATTTTTAATATATATTGTCTAATGTGTGTGTGTTTTACATCAAATGAATAAAAGATATTTCGAAATAATGCCTATAATAATTCAATTTCTAAAAATAAAAAGGTTTATTATAGCACAAGTAGGCCCGAGTCCGACCCAATTAAATGTATGATTCACCGATCGACAGTTGACGCAGTCAAGGATTTTTTGCATCTTATTTTGGTGGAAATCATTCTTTTACATTTTTTTTGGTGGAAACATTTTGTTTAAAAAAAATAATTGTGTCAATAATATATTTTATTTTTCATATTACAGAATAGTAATTCGATAACAAAAAAAAAAACAAAAGCAAAAAAAAAATCGGTTGTATTCATAAATAATGATTTGAAATTGCAAAACTGAATGTAGTTTAAACAGTTTGAATATCAAATATATTTCTACAGAAATCACAATCAACTATAGAATTCCATTAGTCATGAATCCAATAATGTCTATCTTTATAAATAATGCCTACCATTAATTTAATTATCGGGAGGATGCTTCATATATTATATATAAAAAAGGCGAATAGGGTACAAAACTCTAAATGATACCCCACTAATACTGTAATAATTGAAAAACAAAAACTCATATTATTTATCTCTTCTAAATAGAATTTCCTGGATTTGATAATATCTAGTTTCGGACAACGATCCATAATAACCTATCCTTGATTGATTCAACAACATATCCTTCTCCGTATCTCTCTCGAATTTTTTTTTTGTTAACTGAAGTTTACTAGACTTTCGACCCGACTAATATGCCTAGATACGAAAATCTGTCTTTGGAACAAATTAATTACACCTTCCTCATCTCCCGACTCGAATATGAAATCTCTAGACGCGACATCTCCGATCAACCTCTAGAACTGCTAACTTGAACATGGAATCTCTAAAACATGTGGCGTCTCCAGCCAACCTCTACTACTAGAGTTTCAACCATTCGATCACCACAAATGAGATATCTCTCCCGATATTTTTTTTTATAATAGATCACTTTTATATCTACAAATGTCCTAGATTTTTTTTTAAACGTAAAATTTTATATATGTATGGTAATTCTAATAAAGGGGTTTAAATAACCATCCTTATTCTCAAATTACATAGAAATTCAATACCTAGAACGAGAGAAAATCCTCAGTTAAAGAGATTCCAAATGATGAAAGAAAGAGCGACTCTTCTTGTCCTAGTGAATAGACAATAACCTCCTCTTGAATGGTGAAGATATCTTTTAGTAGGATTTCAATCGGCCATTGCAGTTATAATGCTCTGAATACTATTTGTTACAAACTCTAGTCTCAATGAGGTCTCGTAGAAAATAGAAGATTACTAAACTTTGTTTGTCCCCTTTCGAACTCTACCGACTAAGGTAAAATTAATTGGGTCTCATAAAGTTCAAATGTGCTAGATTTAAAACTATTCATTCACATTTCACATAGTAATGTTAAAAGAAAGAATATTTTCTTAAAGATGTATATTATATAGAGAATCAAACATAAGCTTGAAATCTATAGCTCGAGTGTATATATGTATATTACTTTTAGTTTTAACGTTTTCCCGTGACATTTATTGAATTGAACAAATTTCCACGTGTCATTACATAATGGTAGTCCAAAAAATGTGGTTATACGGATTCCGGGTCGTACCCGGGGACAAGGGTTGCTCGTGGGCATTCCAGATTTCTGCCGCAGCAATCCATGGAGGTCGTTCCGATCAGCTCGTCCCCTCTCCACTCCTTTTGCTTTTTTTATGCGTGAAAACCTGTTTAAACACCAAAGAATGCAATCATGCAATATCGAAACCAAATGTGCCCTAGAATGCCTACAAATATATAAAATAGAGTGAAATACGCTAGGCATCCTATATCAAAACGTCACCCAAAATACGTGTTATCAACGACCTATTCTCCCATAAAAAAAAACAACCCTATAATGATTTTCTATATGGGACTTAGTTCCATATTTCACATAAGAATGAGTTGTTACACTCAGCCTTATGCTATTTAGGTAGACATCTAATGTCAATCATATCCAATGTGACTATTAGATCCTTTATGAGACTATGATATCAAATATCATTGCATACTCGTTTCATCTGTACCGTTAAGTCTCAAGTCAAACTTGACAACTTAATCTAGACTAAACCATATTCAAGCTGCGGGAACCACGATTTCTCACCCTGCCTCACAAAGATAATCCGGCACGCTCAGCTTTGGCATGACCTATGGTACGGACGATCGATGCCTTGACAAGTACTCTAGTAATGGAAGGTACAAGCTTAGCATTACATAAAAGAGATTTTTAAACCACACTTAGATCAAGTGTCTACTTTAACGCTATGAGAACAACCATTTCTCCATCTTGCCTCACCAAGATAGTGCTGCACACCCAGATTTGGCATGGCCCATGACACGTACGATCAAAGCCTTAACAAGTGCTTTACTCGTAGAGCTCCTAGATCTAACAGGTTTCTGTGCAACGATTGTACCAATCGAATCAAGGATCAACTATTGTTCCTTGATCAGATGTATTACATAATCCGAATAGACCATCCATTCGATTACGTAATCCCAATCTCGAAGCTCTCACTCAATCAAACATATCTAATATCTTGTTTTAAGTTACATGTATTCATTCACTATGGACCGTCCATACGAATGAATCATGTTATTCTGAATCACAGTTGATCGGATTAAGCAACTATTGCCCAAATCAGATATCGAAACGAAGAACCAAAAATTTTGGTCTTACCTTGGGCATGGACCGATCGGCCCAGAGGTCTGGACCGGTCGGTCTATGCGAATACAGTCTGATCGGTCTGGAAACGTCCAGGCTGTTCGATCTGAACGTCCAGAGCGTTCGGTCCAGACCTATCGGTCCAACCGCGAAAGACGAAACCCTAGACTGATCGATCCAGAGGACCAGACCGATCGGTCCAGGCGAAAATATGATCAGATCTCGTTTTTCATCGTTTCGACCCCAATTCAGACCCGAATTCGACCGGTTTTTGCCTGCGAACTCAGAACACAAACCTCTTGACACTATGCAACAAAAAACATGAAATCTACTCTCCATCCACAATCAATTCATGCATAGCATCAAAAGCAAACACGGATTCAAACGATTCAAATCCTATAACGTGCGTGATCGGGTTATATATATATATATATATATATATATATATTGTTTTGAATGGGTCAATGTCCCTCCATCATTGTCTTCTCCATGGTACGAGTAGTAGTTAAACTTCTCGCTGACGAACCTTCACGCAGTTAATGACATTATATTCTTTTATTAGTGTTATTTTATATTTCTTTTTGTTAGTGTTTGGGAACGTGCCCTACAATCATTTAGATCGGACACCGCAATACCTCGCAACCTTCTCCAAAGGGCCGGACGAATGACACAACATCACAAACAGTAAACTTACATGGCTCCACACACCAGCCGACAAGCTGTGCAGAACGGATAAACCAGTCGAAACTGACCCGTTCAGGAAGCAACTTGACATCAGAAAGAATCGAATCCACAATCTCGACTAGAGGAGACTTGTCATTTGTCAACTGAACTAGATATTTTCCCCCGTTATTTTATATTTTTAGCGATAACATCTGTAAATCCCATTCTTTTTTTTTATTATTTTCCAAGTAGAGACGCGATTTTACTTTATTCTTTCATTTTGTGATTTTTATATATATATATATATATATATATATATTAAATATATATACACTTGGATATGTAATATACTAATACACCTTTATTTAATTATATATATGTTATCAATTATGTGGAGACAGCTACGCATATTTATTGGATTCCCGAGTTGCATGGATACCAATTACGTTTTAAAAGATAATATAATATAAGAAGCCAAACAGATAAGAGAGAGACGCATGTGAGAAAACGGATTCATCACCAACCTGTGCTACTCTGTCGCTACAATTTTCACAAACTTACATGACACGAAATCTGAATCACCCAGAAGAGAAACCCTAAAATGTTACTTGCAGGACAAGAAACGTGAAAGAATAACAGTGAAGAGGAGGAAAACCCAATGTACAGAAACTACAAATGAACAGACTTATAAAGGATTCATCGACCATCCACGGAAGTGAATGAATCGGCAAAGCCATAAGGTCTGGTCGGAATGCTTGTCTGAGTGTTGTCCAGGCTCGGGAGAAGCGAAGAAGACGACGATGACTCAAGACCGCTCCGTCCTTCATAAGCCTGCCATTTCTTGAGCGCTTGCGGCAGAGACATTTCGAGATCGATCCCGTAGATGTCCTCGGGGTTCTGGTCGGAAGGTTTCCAGGACTCGACGAGGGAAGACAGGATGTTGACAGCGTGCCCCATGTCTGGTCTCTGGTAGGGCTCTCGAGCGCAGCAATGGCCGGCCAGCTCTGCAACTGTGTGAACGCTCACTAGGGTTTCTTCGTCGAGGTCTATTGATGGGTCGACGGCTTTCTTGAACGCGGATTCTTTGTTGATGAACATGCGTTTGAACCATGAGACCAAGTGCATGCTCTCTTCGGGTTGGGATTCGTCTAGGGCTTTTCTTCCTGTTATGATCTCCATTAGTATCACCCCAAAGCTGTATACGTCGACTTTTGTTGTCACTCTACCCGTAACTGCAGATAAATCCACATCATTATCATCATCATCATCATCATCATCACCATCATAGTTATGTAATGACGGAAAATGGAAATGCTATAGCAAACATTGGACGACTCACCAGCGTATTCTGGAGCTAAGTATCCGAACGTTCCGGCGATTCTCGTCTCGATCGATCCCTTGCCCTCCGGGGCGAGTCGGACGAGTCCAAAGTCTGCAACTTTAGCCCTCATGTCATCACCCAGAAGAATGTTCGAAGGCTTCAAGTCTCTGTGTATGAAGCTCTGATGGGCTAATCCATGAAGATACTCTACCCCTCTCGCCACGTCCAAGGCTATGGTTAATCTCTGCTTCCATTCAAGAGGCTTCAGCCCTTCCTCTGACCAGTTGAATAGATGCCTGCTAAGTGTACCTTGAGGCATGTACTCGTATACCAGAAGTTTCTCGTTCCCGTCCAAGCAATACCCGAGAAGGGCAACCAAATGTCGGTGCCTTACCTTTGTCAAAACTGCGATTTCCGACCGGAATTCTGCAAACCCTTTTCCGGGTATCACTCCAGATTCCATTCTCTTCACTGCAATCTTGGTTCCATCGTGCAGCTCGCCCTTGTAGACTACCCCGAAACCTCCTTGTCCTAGAATGTTTTGTTCGCTGAAGTTGTTTGTAACGCAGCGTAAAACCTGAATCGAAATCAGCATGTTTCCGGCTTCCACCATATGGATATCTCCGGCCTCGCTAGTGCTCGGAAGAGTATAGGTTTCGCTAATGGCACCGACACTAACACTTGAACCTGCAACTGTGATTTTCACACTTTCGTTGTCGGAGCCAGAGTGCCGTGGATGTACCACCACAGCGTTGGGGCTTTGAACTCTTGTGAATCTCTTCTGCCTCTTCTTGTACCAGCAGAAGGCTAATAACCCGATCAAGAAGATCGATAGCATACTTCCAATCACAGAACCGATGATTATCCCGGCTAAAGAAGAAGATTTCGAGTTCTTTACGTTATTTCCTTTACCCGATGATGGATCTGATGAAGAATCAGGAGATGGAGGGGTTTTATCCTTTCCGATATCGGGATTGCCAGCAGTGTTCACAATCACATTGCTTCTGAATTCCGGGACTTTCCCGTAAAGCTGGTTATTCGAAACATCAAGCCCTCTAAGTTCGGGCAATGTTGTGAGTTCTTGAGGAATCGTACCGGTAAGATTGTTACCTCCAAGAACAATTCTTTGAAGGGATTTGATCGATCCAAACAAGGGGGAAATCGTCCCGTTAAGTCCCATCTTCTCAAGATTGATGACCGTAATGTTTCCATTGCTGCACGTGATCCCGATCCAGCTCACGCAAGGATCGTTCCCCTTCCAACTCTGCGCAAGCCTTTGTGGATATTCCATTGATTTCACGATCGAAAGCAAAGAACTGACTCTGGGATCGCACTCACCAGGGCTCGGTAAGCAAAAGCTATTGGAGTCCTTAACCAAATCAACTGAGACAGTGTTCTTAAACTCAGGAACTGACCCTTGAAGTAGATTATTGGTCAGATTAACCACTTTCAGTGATTCAAGATTGGTAAGAGAGACAGGAACAGGACCAGTAAACAAGTTGTCCCTCAAGCTCAAGCTCTCAAGCTCTTCCAAACCTGAAAATTCAGGCAACGGACCGGAAAACGCATTCGAATGCAACCAAACCTCTCTTAAAGCAGTCATGTTCTGTAAAACATCGATCCGACCAGTGAGTCCACTTTTCTGTCCATTGAGCCACAATGACTGAATCTGAGAACCCGACAAGCCCGAGGGTAGCTCTCCTTGTAGATCATTGAAGGCCAGATGCAGAACTGACAGACCCGGAAACTCATCTGGTCCAAGAAAATCCGGTAAGATTCCGGTGACATTTGCGGAGTTCGCCGAGAAATTCTGCAGAGCAGATGCATTTCTAAGGCTCTCTGGAATCTCCCAAGCCGAGAACGGATTGTTATCGATCTCCACGGACTGTAAAGACGACAACCCAGAGAAGAAATCTCTAGGGATTGAATCGAACAGATTGTTACTAAGCATCAACACTTGCAATGAACTCAACCCACTTAAGGAAGGGACCGGGCCAGAGATTTTGTTCAACTGGAGCTCAAGCCGCTCGAGTTCCGACAAGTTACGGAGATCGGGAGGGAGTGTACCTTGGAGATTGCAGTGCCCGATTTGGATCCGGGTCACGCGATTGCCGTCCGTACAACCTACGTGGTCCCATTTGCAGGGGTCCGGGTCTGACCATCCAAGAGATGGAGGAGGGTTAAGGCTCTTCCTGAGAGCGAACATCGCGGCGGCGTCGCCGCCGCCATTGGAGGAGCTTTCTTGAGCTTCCGAGAGATGAAACGTAGCAGAGAGCACCAGAAGCAAAAAAGCAAGAAGGGTTCTTCCCTTCTTCATGTTCCAGCAGAACCCAGAAGAGAAACGATGGAAGAAAGAAGAGAAAGTGAAAAAGAGCTTGAAGCTTTTGCAAATGCGTATTGATTCAGAGGCTATGGAGATGTTATCGATGGAGCTCTGAAACTGGAAATAGAGAAACAGAGAGAGAGAGAGAGAGAGAGAGAGAGGGAGAGAGAGAGAGGGACAACGAGACGATGAAGCAGAAGCCAAGAGCTGCACATGGGATGTCTGACCAACACTCATATGACAGTTTGGTTTAACAAGGAAACTTTAAAATACTTTTTTTTTGCACCAGAAACATAAAACAAATATATTTTTCAACTAAAACTTTTTAAAATTAATTGACGAATGAATGATAACTATTCCGAATAAATAACGACTTTCCCAAAAATAATAACAAAATATCTCTTATTCTATTATTTTAAAAAATATTTTTAAAAGTTCTTGAAAATTTTAAGAATTTTTTGTATTTTATTTATTTTATACATTTGAAGTTTTTTATGTTATTGCATAAATTCCGTTTGGTAAATTCTTTTTAATTTATTCTAACTTAGATTTTATTCCAAATAGATTCACAATTTATTATCATATAGAATTTGGACTATTGATTTTTTCTTTTCATTTTTTTGCAAGACGTATATTTTCAGTGTTAATAAATGAAAAACATAAATATTTGTTATTTATAACTGTTGTACCTTACATATTGTAAAATAGACAATATTATGTAATCCTAAAATATTATATGTGCAAAGTTGTGATATGCTAGTATTGCATGATATATAATATAAAATATAATAAGGTCTAATATTAATCATATGCTTTAAAATATAATATCAAATATGCTAGAATTATCAAATATGATTGAGGATCCTTATTTTCTGTAAAGGGAGAAGAACCAAGTCAAGCTTATTCCCAGTGCACATGGGGCTTTGGATTTTATTTATTTTTCACGTTATTGATATTTAGAGTAGTTTCGGATATTTAATTTTTTTTTTGTTATGTTCCGATTTGTTTCATTTTTTGTTTTAGTAAAGATTTTTCTGTCGGTAAAAATAAATGTATTTTTATAAAATTTATTTTATTTTATTAAGTTTTATTAAAGTATAATACTGTTTTCGTGGTAAAGGTTTATCTTTTAAAAAACAAATTCTATTAATTTTTCTAATATTATTTAATATCCCATTTGGGATTTTTTTAAGTTCAGTGTAATTTAGTCTTAGAAGAACAATAATTAATCAATTAATATTTAATTCGATTCCAATGAAATATCAACCAAATATCAAAAGGAAAATAGTCAAAATACCAACCAATATCAAAAGGAAGTTAGTCAAAATACAGTAGAATTTATCTAATCTTAAAGGATTAATTTTCTTTAACTGTTATTGAATTTAAAATATTTAAATTACAGCCACTTTCAATAATTATTACAAATTACATTTAAGCGTTGTTTTATAACACCATGTTAAACAGACCGAGATTCGTAAGACATATCTTGACCCAAACCCTAAACAAGATAAGCCCAATTCACACTGGCCCACGTAACCCAGGCCCAAACATTACCCAAATATATATAATTTTTTTTATAAATATCGTATAATTATAATTTCTATAACTATTTTCTATTAAATTCTACTGTATTCTGTAAACATGGGTTTATATAAACCAATATATATATATATATATATATATATCATGAATGTTCATAAATTGAGTTCAGATTGCACAAAAAACACATAATGGGTACGTGGATTTTAGTCTAGGAACTTGATGAGTTTCAACACAATCAGTATTTGAATAACGCAGAAATTTTAAAATAAAATGTAAAAGTTGGAGAAATTTATTTATTTATTATGATAACGCTTTTATTGGTGTGACATATGGGAGGAGATAAGATTGAAGACACGCAAAGGGGATGACGTGGATTTTATATGTTTCCGCAATGGATATCCCATTTTAAATCATTTTGGCATATGTACCAAACATGAGTGGATCCTTGCTCATCCCCACATTTCCCACCATTACACATGGTGTGTGTGTGTATGTATATATATATACATATATATAAGCTAATTTGTCATATATATATATATATATATTTATTTATTTAAACGTAAAGTTAATATCTCATTATATTAATAATACCATCCATAATAATAATAATAATAATAATAATAATAATAAATTCATTAATTAATTCATATTACATAAAACTTAAATATATTATTGGAATATTAAAAATAAACAAACAACCAAAACAAATAAGACCTCGAGCTTATTCCGGTCGAATTAAACCAGAAATTTTAAATGAATTGATTACTATTGTTGAAATAGGAAAATAAATATGTGATTGGAGAAAAATCTAGATTTTGGAGGAACACAATATTATGTTAAATATTGTGAATCATATTTATTCGTTATATCTATATTTCTTTTTATTTCATTTGTTAATTTTCCTATAAATATGTGAGTTATTTTCATTGTAATGGTACAAGAAGAAGAAGAAGAAGAGATGTAGCAATAAAAGCAATTCCGTTCTTTTCCATGACAAATTCATAATTCATTTGATCATTTGTCCATGACAACATGAAAACCTTTGATGACTTGACACACGAAATTAATTATGAACCCAAAAGATAGATAGATAAATAAATAAATAAATCGACCAAGTGTGAAGACCAAAAGCAAAAGAAGATCAAAAGGAGTAAAACATAAACATATGGGTTTATATTAATGATTTTATGATAAAGTATTGTCCAATTGTATAATAAAAAATCGAAACTATATATATATACGTGTGTGTGTACGCGCTTATATTCATAATTAAATTTACGGAAGTGAAGTGATGAGTCATGAGCAGACGAAAACGTATCTTTAAAACGGTATTAATTTAAAATATCACATTGCTTTATCCAATTTGTGTGTATGTAAATCATTGCGAAACTGCATAATTTACACACAAAAAATCGAAAGATTTAATAGTACAATTGCAAAGAATGTTATACGCCAAAATTTCATAATCTTTTTTAACACAATTGATGAAATGAAATGAAACAATGATATAGGATTTCCAATTGTAACCAACTAAATTAAATAATATATAATCATATCATAACCGAATTTTAGCTTATTATGTATAATTTTAAACTAAATTAATTAATAACATGAATTTAAAAATAACAAAAAAAAAACATCTACAAAAATGGAAATTAGTTTATAAATAATTGTTTAATAAAAGAGAATTAAATCAAATTCAAAATAAACTAACCTACATTATATGCAAGCCATATATATATATTGACACCCCCCCCCC